GATCAGCGCCATTTTCCAGTAATAGGTGAACGATATAATAGTGGCATCTCTGAGCAGCCCACATTGCCGGTGTAGCTACAGACTCTCCTCCTTTCTTGTTCACATCTGCGCCGGCTTTCAAGAGAAATTGGCACATGGCATACTGGTTGTTAATAGCCGCCCACTGTGTGAATACATTAGTTAGGGAAATCTTGCACAATGGGAATCGAGTCGCACATGTAAAGGTGTTATGCCCTCGCCGTCACTATAGGTAGCATCAAATGTGCCATCATCGAATAGCTTTTCTACCGCTTGAGTGTCTCCTATCCGAGCAAGCTGCATTATATCCGCTGCGGGCTGTTCTGGAGGTGTCATATCCCCAAGCTCTACATGATTATCATCACTGAGAGTAGGCGCCACGACATTTGACTTCCCACTTGGCATTATTGGAGCATTTTTCTTCGAAGAGTCCGTCCCAGAGGAGGATTTCGAGTCTCCGAGGGCCATCTCGGGACCAAGGAAACTGGATTGAGAGTGTTCGAGGTGTCGAGGGAATGAAATGGATTACGGTATGTGGGATATCAATCGTGAACGTTATGACAACACATACATAATAATAGAGTAAAGCAAAGAAGTCAGTAAGAAAGGAAAAAACCAGTGAATGAAGAATTTTATAATTGGAAGAGCTGACTAGTTGTATTCTCCGTGGCTTTCAATTGAGATTATATTCCTTTCCTGCTTATTACATGGACTGGTAGTCTTTCCTTTTCCTTCCCCAACTAGTAGAGTGCATACAAGGCTGAGTATCTGTTGGTACTTTATTTTAGTATCTGGCTTGCCTTGTTGTGGAAGCGGTGACAGGGGTAAAGTCAATTTTCTATAGCACAGCTCAGCATGTGGAACCCCCTAAATTACATGCACATACGACGTATCCGTCACCACAAAATAAATTTCCATAGCCTTGCGAAAGAACAACACCACCATAAGGAAAAGACCACTCGCAATATCATCCCATCACAAACGGGGAGACTTTTTTCTACATGTACTTCTAGTGGGTGGTACTTGATGAAAGTCGTCGATCCTCAAGTTTCTGAATAACAAGGCCCTTTTCTCTTTGGTCATGTCTTCTTCACAGGATTGGATTTATACTCTGATGAACCCCTCGCCATTGGGTTTGATCATTGCAATTATCCTAGTCCTTTCGATACCGATATTCCTCCACTCTGTAGTCTTTCGCGCAACTGGTTTCACATCTTTGCCCTCTATTGTGTTGATTGGACCAAGCGGCGCAGGAAAAACGGCACTTCTTACTCTTGTAAGTAATTCAACAGAAGAGGCCTTTGTCGCATGAGGTGAGTAGCCATCACAAACACTAATAATAATCAATCATAGTTCGAACGAGAGAACAAGCCTGCAACTACTCATACTTCCCAAACTATTTCATCCGCCGAATGCTCTCTACCGGTTGATACAGTAGCTGCCTCGAATAAATATCGTTCAGTGAATGATCCTACCAATCAAGTTCATAAGAAATTCCTCCTACTTGATACTCCTGGGCATGGAAAACTGCGACACCATGCATTCGAACAGCTCTCAACTGCTCAAAACCTTCGAGGTGTAATATATCAAGTCGATGCTACTACATTGGGAGCTGGAGATGAGGGTCTAAGAGAGGCTGCCGATTATCTACACGATCTACTCCTCCTCATGCAAAAGCTCATGGATGGAAAAACTACCACAAAGGCACCCCAAGAACTACCGTTACTCATTGCTGCCAACAAGATGGATCTATTCACTGCTCTTCCAGCCGCATTAGTCAAAAGTAGTCTGGAAAGAGAAATTACCAAAGTTAGAGTCTCGCGATCAAAAGGTCTACTTGATTCGGGGATGTCTACAGAGGAGGACGAAGATAAAGATGAATGGCTAGGAGAAATGGGTTCTACCGACTTCAAATTTTCACAAATGGAAGAGTTCAACATCTCTGTTGAAGTAGCTGGTGGTAATGTAGTTGGATCTGATGGTGGATCAGTTGATGCTTGGTGGAAGTGGGTTGCCAACAGATTATAAGCGAATGAAGCTTTTTTCGCATTCCACATTCTAGGATTCATCTAACACCCCTCATGAACCTTATTTTCACGAGTTCTTTCTTGTGAATAGCTCATCCCATTAATCAGGATAATAAACCTTCATTTTATAAGTAACGTAACTTATGGTGAACCGGGTCATATGGGGAACCGGGTCATATGGGGAACCGGGTCACAAAATTCAATTCTCTCTATGTAATCTTATTCTATAAACTACACATTCATTCAATTCCAATTCTAAATTATTTAAACTATTCTTTAGCTTTTCTTCTTTAATCTTTTCTTTTAATTTTTCAATTGAATATTTACATGGTTATCCTTATAGCTTTTTCTTCTTAGATTTTTCCTTTACTTTATATACTATTTTTAATACTTTCTTATTATTAAAGATAAATTGACCTTGTAATTTAACTCTTTTATTTTTAATTCTCTTCTTTCAAGTTTCAATTACTTTCTGAGTATTAGCGAATTGTTTTTGAAATAGGGCTATCTTAGCATTTTGAGATTCTATAAGCTTAATTATTCTTTTAGCATATTAATAAATTAGTAATATAAAAGAATTATTATTTACTAAAGCTTTATTAAAGGTCTAATTTATTTGTCTTAATTCTGTCCTATTTGAAAAAAAGCTTTTAAATATAGATAAATCTAGATCTTAATTAGAGGTTCTTATTTATAAAGTGAAAGGTTATTAGAAAAAGTTAAATAATAATAAATCAAATACTTTTTGTAGGACAAAAAATATTAAACCAGCTTCTCTTTAATTAGCTTTAATATTAAAAGAATTTAATACCTTTTTTCTAATATTTTGAAAGAATTTTATTTATTTAGCTTTTTAGATTTGCTTTATATTAGCTCGAGAATATCAATCGACCTTTAAAATATAATATCGTTTTATTAGTCTATTGTTACGGAGGTACCCGCACCGCAACATGGATTATAAGATAAACCTAAGGCCTTGGTGTTGGAACCTACGAAAACAGCACTGTAGGGACAGTTGGATTAAAGGGTAACGAAAGATAGCGGTAACCGAATCAATAAGCAATGATTAAAAGATAGGTACCTATCTTTTGTTGGCACCTATCCTACAGTAGGCACAGGAGGGATAGCGGTTACAGGTTATCTAGTAAGCACAGGTTAGATAAGCAGTAGTATCATATAGGTCACGGGGCAAGTGTCACGTGATGGATAGACAGGATAGGCAAGCTATCCAGGCTATCCGTGGATAGACAGGATAGACAGTCTACCCAAGCTATCCAGACGAGAACGAAGGTCTATATAAGGGAATGGGTTTCATTACAATGTAGAGCTTCGTGCTCAAGATCAATCATTAGTTTCATACTATAGTTACGAGAATTGCAACCAGTTACAACCTTATTGAATTCCTACTTGAAGTCTAGTCTAAACCACCTCGAGAGATCTCTAGACACTTCCACGTGACCCTAGAGGCAGCTCCCGTAACATCTATATACTATAATATTAAGTGATTAAAGTAAATGAGAGTAATAAGGAGATAATATAAGTAAATTAATATTCTTCTTTATATAGAAAGCAATAAAGCTACCTATAATATAACTTAAATAATTATTTATAATTAAAAGTCGAAATTAATCACCTAATACTTTCTTAAATTCTAATTCGAAAACCCTTTTTAGTTATTTTAATTTATAATTATTTAAGATTTATTTATTCGTACTAGTAAAGAACTATTAGCTTTAAGGTATATTCTTTAAAATCTATACAAAATTTATATTTTGAGTCTTAAAAATGATCATAAATGATAAAGCCTTTCCAGCTATATTAACATATTTAAATACAATTATTCATTCTTATTTACTAATTGTAACTTTTCAATTCGATTTTTGAATAAAATCGATTATAATATATATACTTTGAGTACTTCTAACTTTAAATCCGGTTTCATTTATATTATGTATATTATCTAATTCATACTTTTGTTTAATGAGATATATACAAAATATATCAAACCAAGCCTGAATATTCTCTAATATTGCTTTTTTAACCTAATTAAACTTTAATTAATGTAAATAGTATATTTTAAATTCTAAATATCGTTTTTGGAATTTATAGATTTATTTGTAGTCTATAAATGGAATTTCTATTAAAATAGAAATTCGAAATAATACAATCTGAATATATCAAAAATGAATTTCGTCGATCATTTCTTTCATTAATATAAATATAATAGGGAATCTAATAATAATAAATTATAAAATCCATTATACAAAAGTATTTTCTTTTATATTTGAAAGAATTTGAGTTATTTTATGAGATTAAGTACATAATTTTCTTTTAATAATTCTAACTATAAGAATTGACTTAGGAACTTTAAAATACTCTACAATCTTTTTAATTAATTTAAATTCCTTTAATTGAAGTATAATAATAATATTCTATATTTTCTTTTTAATTTGAAAAAGTGTAAAAGGTAATTTGATATATATAGCAAAATTTGTTGGGGTTTGAAGTCAATGATAGGCTAAATGTGACCCGGTTTTCCATATAACCTGGTTCACCATAAGTTATGTTATTTTAATGTTATTCTAATCAATTTGGGATGTCTTGACTACTTTATTATGAGGGGCTTAGCTAAGCTCTAGCTGTTATGATCACATTACGAGTACATGATTCACTATTAAAGCTAGCAGTTCGCATTCTTTGTAACGTCATTGCACTTTACAATTAATTTTAATTAATCTCAATTGAATCAATTCAGCTCATATATCTGCAATGGAATACTGTCCCTTCCATACAATTTTTCTCATTCACTGTATTCATTTCCACCCAATGAATACTTGTTCTGACCATTCACCTGATGGTCGTACTTGAGAACCAGCATCAAACTATAAATTGTCAAGACTGGCTCGAATTAACAAAACACACTTGGGGGCTTTTGATCAACCACAATTTACAAACATGTCTTCAATACTCCAATTCCCTCCAAGCTATGTTTTTAAATTTCTTCTCAGTGATAAAGAAAGCAGAGAACTAGAAGACGGATTGGATGGATTTGGCGCTTTGCGATATACTATTCAAGAAGCCGAAGTGGGACTTACGAGAATTCCTACGAAGACGAGAGTGGAATTTGAGTTGAGGAAATTGAAATTCAAGACGCTTGATGTCACGAATTCTGGGAATGAGATAGCAAAGATAGGGGGAGTGGATTCTGGGGTGAAGGAGGAGATGGGGAGGAAGAGAAAAGCTGGAGGGGGGAAGAAGGAGCGGAGAAGTATTTTGAATGGTGATGGGCATGAGGTTATTGAACTTAGTTCTGATGAGGATAAAACTGAATTCGAGGAAGAGGAAGAGAGGAGAGGGGAAATGGCTAGGAAAAAGTTGAAGTCAGCTGATGGGACGAGTTCTCCTGCTCCTATTGGAAGCAGTTATGGTGGAAACATTGTCAAATTTGAAGACATCGGCAAAGTTCCAGATGATGTCAATGGTCAAAACACTTTCAGGGTTCTGAAAATTGACTGGTATTTCGATTCAATCAGAGAAGGGATATTGCTTCCCATAGACAAATATCTAATATACGAAGGACGACGAGTAACGGAGCCACCAAAATTTCTCCCTTCGAACCTCCTAACTCGCGCAGCAACTGATTCAGGGGGCTCTCCTAACCGTGGATACAGTCCGCATTATCGACAGCAACAATCAAGCAAACCACTTACCCGACCCACCCTCCTGGCTCAAACCACCTCCGAACACGACGATCCTTCACACTTCCCCCCATTACCAGAATACCTCAAAACAATCTACTCCTGTGAAAGACCAACCCCATTAACCTCTCCCAACGATCCCTTCATCTACCAACTCAAAACCATCAAGCTAAAACGTCTTCTCGACGGCGACCCCATCGGTGTTCGCGCCTACAGCACTTCTATCGCCTCCATAGCAGCCTACCCCTATCCTCTCCGCTCCCCCAACGAAGTCATCCGTCTCCCAGGATGCGATCAAAAAATCGCCAATCTCCTCCACCAATTCCTCAACACAGGAACCATCGACGAAGTCCTCGACTTCGAACACAATCCCCGCATGCAAGTCCTAAAAGCCTTCTACAACATCTGGGGTGTAGCCGATATTACCGCGCGCGAATTTCACGATCAGAGAAACTGGAAAGATCTCGACGATATCGTGGTCGAAGGCTGGAATGATCTCAAACCGGTGCAGAAAATCGGAGTCAAATATTACGAGGAGTTTAATTCCACGATCCCCCGCTCCGAAGTCGAAGCCATCGGCTCTATCATTCTTTCCGAGGCGCGGCAAATCGATCCAGGGTTTCAGATGGTGATCGTAGGGGGATATCGGAGGGGAAAACCAGAAAGCGGAGATGTGGATATTATGCTTACGCATCCGGATGAGAAGCGCACCTTAGGGTTCCTCCCAGAATTAACGTGGAGATTGGAGGAGAAGGGATGGATTACGAATGTGCTACTTGAATCGATGAAGAATAGTGAGAGAGGACAGTGGGCTGTAGATCTGAGCTGGAAAAAAGATAAAGCGGGAACGGGCTTTGATAGTTTGGATAAGGCGTTGGTGGTTTGGCAGGATATTAATTTTCTGGTTGAGGAAGAGGAAAAGGGAGAGGGGAAAGAGAGGAAGAAACCCAAAAATCCAAATCCCCATCGCAGAGTAGATATTATTATTACGCCGTGGAAAACGGCGGGCGCGGCGATTATTGGATGGTCTGGGGGAACAACGTTTCAGAGGGATTTGAGAAAGTATTGTAAGAAGAAGAAGAATTGGAGATTTGATAGTAGTGGGATTCGGGAGCGGGGGACGGGGGAATGGGTGGATTTGGAAGGGGGTGTGGAGGTGAAGGGGTCAGCTAGAAAAGATACGGAGAGGGTTGATATGGAAGGGAGAATGGAAAAAAGTATGATTGAAATATTGAGGAAGAAGGAAATGGCCGTTTTCAAAGGCATAGGGCTAGAATGGAGAGAGCCATGGGAAAGATGTACTGGGTAGCAAGGGGACACTCTCGAGGATGAATTTGTGACAATAATTGAAAGTTACAAATAGGTTATCATTATTAATATCATCGTCTAAATAAAAATATTTTTCTGCCATTGAGAAAGTAGCTAAATCACACTTGCATCTTTAATACTATGAATGACTTAACACCGGGAGAACTACACATCATCGGTTGTGAGAATTACGCAATCAAGCGCACCGGCCCCTTTTCTATAGATGGGGAATCTTTACATGTATGTGGCTCCACATCTATATAGCTATTAATACCATGAAGAGGCGAGTGACCGGAATTGCAAATATAGATCAAAAAAAGTGACCCATCGAAACGGCATTTGTTTCTTCTAGTAATGGACCCTAAAGTGAAATATTGAAAGCATTGTGGGATCTTGATAGCTGTTTAGCCGCAGTTGTTCGAATTAGAATACTGAATTGACAGAAATCATTTAAATCTACTGGTCATAAAGTCTTGATTGAAGTGTTGAGGACGCTGTAGAAGATTCAGTATTTTCATTTGTTGATCCAAGATTGAAAAAGGTACAATGCTAGCGCAAATGGTATTTCTGAATGGTCTCAGTTTGCCTAGCTAAACAACAACTCCCGTAAATTATTTAGAGTTTTTAACGTTCTTTCCGTCTCTCTCAAACATTTCGAAGTCATATTACGCAAGTCTAACAAGAATTAGTCGGCAAAGAACGTGGTAGATGACAATCTAAACCAACCTTTCAATCAAATGCAAACCAGAAGCAGTTTCAACCACATGACTAACTTCTCCTGGCTTTAAGGCGAAAGCTGCTTCTTCAAACTCTTTCTGCATATCTCCCCGTCCAAAGAAACCGAGATCCCCCATCTTACGGGCAGAACTGCAATCGGATTCGCTAACGGCAAGATCACCCAATGAAGTTGTTCCAGAACGGATATGAGCTTCATGTTGGAGAATAATGCTCATCGCCTCTTCTTTCGTACGTGTGATTTCCGCCTATATTATTATTAGTCATATTCCCTTGCGCACAATGAGCCATTGAGGTCTCTCGATTGTTGATTGTGATTTCAAATTTTTGTTATGGAGAAAACAAACCTCGCGCCAACTGCTCGGCCTTCTGCTGCCCTTGTGCTTCACCAGTAAATGACTGGCTCTAATCTTTCCCGATTGATCTTCCTGGCCATTGGCATTATCTCCAATCTCCGAGGCGCTGTAATGCTCGGCCATATATGCCTTCAGCTTTTCGGTATCAGTGTTTGCTGGAGGCTCCCAGCTTGATATTGTCTGCGCTTCGTTGAAATAGTAGGGAATGTTCTTGGATTTTGAAGTGCGAACTTCCCATCCTGCTGGTAGACCTGCATCCGTCTATGCGGAGAGGTTAGTAAAGCTTGAACGATATTTACATTACGAATCCATGGAGTTCAGCCATTGAAGATATAGTAAGCATTCAAAGTGCAAAGGGAAAACGTTACCATTGTGTGACTGGTTTTTTATAATTGAATGTGCTACAAATGATTCGAGTTTGTGATGGATATGATTGATGAGTCTTTTGATATAGATTTCTGTGACTGTACGCTTCTTATTTATTTTTGATTGTATTTTTCCAAAGGAAGAGGCGTGAAAGGAGATGATGCATTTAACTGGAAGGTACAGTATCTTGGTCACAGGGCGAACCCAATTAAGTTTAGTGGCAGGCGGGGTTTCCTTTCTCTTAGTAAACCTGCCCACCAAGCAACAACCTCGCAACCAGACTCCAGAGCACTGAGACTAACCAACTCGAACCATGCCAATCATGCCAGCTTAATAATAATAAGAATCTTTCTTTCACTTGCAAGGGTTAACAAAAGAGTTCTAGTTCTACCCAAAAATATCCACATCGAAATCCATTCAAGCCACAATCCATCATCATTCATCGACATTTCTCAATATAATACAACATCAGAGAAGAATATTGTTATTCTTTCTTCTTCCACGTTTAAAATATCGACTTCAACTGGCTCTAGGTGCTGAATAACGACATTGATCCACGAGGATCATTACGGTTTATCTATTGCGACAAAATCAATCCTAGAACACATCTATCAAAGAAATATCATCATGGCATCTCCATCATCCAGTGCCGGCGAAGAGCCCAAGAAGAATGAGGAACAAATCACTTTCAGATTCTGTAGTGAATGGTAAGTTTCTATCGCCCCTTCAAAGGTTTCCTCGCATCTGCTAACCATTATCTAGCTCAAATATGTTGTATCCAAAGGAGGACCCCGATACCCACCGCCTACAATTCGCATGCCGTACTTGTCAATACTCAGAGGAGGCTGTATCCTCTTGTGTCTTCAGAAACGTTCTTAACAATGCCGTCGGTGAGACTGCAGGTGTCACTCAGGATGTTGGATCTGATCCCACTGTGGGTTTACCTTTATGCCTTTTATGCGGCCATCTGGTCATTTGTGTTAGAAGAGTGTCGAGTAGGTTAGGTGTGGAGAAGCTTTGAGAGGGGAAGAATTTATGAGTGGACTTATGCGGAAGTTCTAGTAGCTGTTGTGGTCTATTTGAAACCCTCCGCTGACATGTCAATTTTCTTTGGTTCTAGCTTCCACGATCCAACAAGACTTGCCCTGCTTGCAGGAACGAAGATGCTGTATTTTTCCAGTCTCAACAGAGATCTGCGGAAACAGGAATGGTAAGCTTCCGAATTTGCGAATACTTCCAGGCTTTACTAACGGGGGATCCTAGAAACTCTTCTACGTATGCTGCGGGTGCGGTCATATTTTCCAATGATACCCCAGGTTTCGAATTTTTAGAGAAGGCGTTGTTCTTTGGGGAAACAGGCATATGGAGTCTATCACATGGATTGGGGATATATAAAAATACATTATCAAATTTCTAGGGCATGTCACTATGGGGGGAGAAGATAATTTTTCATTGTCCAAAAATTCCTTGAAAACGCCGGATTTGCTATGCTACATCGATCTTTTTTTATACAGTGACATCTACAGATGCATAGGTGCTAGTGATAGAATTTTTGACCACTTCATCTTTCTCAATTCTGTGCCAACAACACCTGTAAAATGTTAACCAAGGAAACATTTTGAGAATAGTCGACACTACTAACCGTTTAATCTTGTTCCAATGGGTTCTCCAGCTTTGTTAATTAAAACACAAGCATTATCATCGAATTTGACGACACTTCCGTCTGGTCTCTGTAGCTTTTTGACTGTCCTAACCACAACTGCGTGTCTAATATCTCCTCTTCTGACCTTGTTCGCTGCGGATGTAGAAACACTTGCACCGGGACCGGACTCTGAGAAATTACGTTGCTTTTGTACGACGACGATAATGCGATCTCCTAATTTGCATTGTTAGAATTGGAATCGACGAGACGAGGTTGTGGGGGGGCGTTGTGGAGGGAGGGGGTGATGTAGAGAGGGTCCGAACCAATTTTTGCATGTCTCTTCATTTTCAAGACCTTGGCGCATTCTACCACGGCGGCGCCAGAGTTGTCGATGCAATTAAGCATCGTCTATATGGTGATAATTAGCACAATAGCAAGTGATGAGCGCAAAAGCAGAAAGATCAATAAAAGTATTTTAAATGCGCCGAGCACAATAGAAGGAAAGTAATTGAGTATATATCAATGAGGATATTTTATGTACACGCAAGAGAACAGTCCATACCTTTAGTTGAATCATCTTATGAACAATACGTGGTGGAGGGGTTCACTTTCGTATTGCTGAGATTGTCTATACATCTCCCTCTCTCCGTATTGTATGGCTATCTCACTATTGTCATTGTCAAATTGTTAGGACACTAGTCTACTTTTGGTATAGGCGATGTTTACCCACGCCTCAATATTCCAAGTTCTATTTCCAGCCTCTTTTATCTATTGTCCTATCTTGTTGAAAATGGCTATTAATAGGGGTGAAAAAATATACTTCATCTTCTGTTGAAGGTCATCATGTATCTCAAGGAAACAATTATTCACTCCTTTCCTGCTTACTTACTTTCGTCCCTCCTTTTCTTCCCGTTTGAAGCATTTCGGCGTTCTCGTTCCCCATTTCTCAATTCCGCATAACGTTACTTTCGGATTTCAGCACATAAGTATCTGCTTCTCTTTTATTTTAGTCGGCCAGGAAAAATAGCCAGGGAGGACGTCCATTTGGAAGAAGTGAAGGTATTTGGGTCACAAAAATCAGCTCCGACACGTTTCTCGTAGGCGACGGGCCACTTGAACCATTCATTCAATCTGATATTCCAATTTATTGCAAGCCGTACATCCATACACACTCACTTGGATATACAATTCATTCGAATCCTTTCCGCATCCTTCTCACAACACTATCCAGTTCTTTTCTTCGGCATAACGACTGGCTTTGTTTGTAGCCCTAACTTCTGTACAATCGCATACTTACACATCACTTGAATCGTCACAATGCCTCCAAAATCAAACGCAGCGAAGAAGGAACGCCTTACTTTGGCTCAATTATGGTCATACGACGATATATTGACAGATGCGCTTGTTGACCAGGTATGTCTTATATAATAGTCTCAACTATAACTTCTCCTAATACAGGCCGACAGGTTTACTATTGGACCAATATTCGCAAAAATCGCATCGCATACCATTCATCTCGTGGAATTAGAGAGGAAGATGTGACCAAAATTCTCCAAAATTCAGTCATTATTGAGAAGAACACGGCAAAAGCAGAGGCACAACTCTTGGCTCTTCCAGGTCTCAAGAAATTTCACCAAAGTCTCAATTCGGAAAAAGAAAAGGAGGACTTTAGGCGTCATCTCAAAAAATACATCAACATTTATCTACCAGATTGTCCATTCGAAGTTTCGAGCACGAATCGTTATACTGTTGTGACACATGAAGCGGCAGTTGTTGCGCGAAGGGAAATTCGAAAGGGAGAGGTAGTCAAATATCTTTCCGGAATTCAAGTTGTTATGACTCCTGAGGAGGAAGAGCATATTAACCTCCTGCGCAGAGATTTTAGCATCGTCATGTCAAGTC